TTTTAATTGAGTTTTTGTTTTTTTATTATTATTTTAAATGTCTGTTTATTAATTTGTTTTGTAGAGTCAAAGAATTAGACATAAATCGTATTTCATTAAACGAATGTGGGCGTTAAAGAAATTCAAAACAACGAAACTAATTTTATTACTTTATTTTCACATTCTTTTTTTTTCTGTGTGTTTAAAACATCTTTGATTCATTCAATAAAACGTCTTTTCTAAATATTATTTATTACATTTCCCTATACTAAAATTTATATTAAATTTTTTCTACTTAAATGACCAAAAAATAAAAATTAACAAAATTAATTTTAAAATTTGTTAAAAAAAAAATTTATATATAAAACGCACAACGTAAATAAAATAACAACTTTTTAAAATTTCATGGAATTTGTAAAGATAATTTATCATTGATTATAATTTTGTTTTTGTATATGTATTTTTTCCATATAACAGTTTAGAGTGGAGGTGACAAAAGGTTTTATAATTAATTTCTGTTCAATATATCAAGTGGTATTAGTTATTAGTTGTAAATTAAATGAAAACAAAACTTACAACATTTATTTATTAAAAATTACAGAAATATTTCTATTGTCTGAGTTTCAAAAACGGAAATAGATATATTAAAAAAATATCTGATTAATTTGTAAATTTATTAAATTGATACCTACTAATATTTGGAAACTAGTTTGTTTGCAGGGAAATTGTTAGTAAAAGATTAATCATTTAATAAAATCTTTAACACTTTAAGACCTTTAACACTTGTTGATGAGCACTAGTCAGCATGAGGCATCGTTTTATATTTAAAAATAATAATCAGACTCATTCAAAAAAGTAAGATTAGTATTTACGAGACAATAACTCAATTAATAATTTGATTACCATAGGAACCGCTGTCGCTTAATGATAGCCGACTGCTCAGATTTTTGATTTTCAATAACCATGTTTGTGTTATTATCACTTGATCGTTAGTGTTTAGTCCCTATTTTTATCCAATAATAATTCTTAAAATATTCTTTCCAATTTAGTTTCGTCATTTGGAAATATTTTTAAATAAATTGTTTAATATTAAAGTAATTTGTTTATAATTACTCTTCTCGTTATACTCTATATCACTGTAACAAAAAACAAGTACAGGAATAACCCTGAATAATTGAAATTATTAAAATGACTCGTTTGTTTTTTTCGTTATAATGAAATGCATTTACTCATTTGGCCTGTGGTGTTTAGTATTTTTATTGTTGTTAATTCTAAAGTGTGTGGGTGTTTGTTTAACAATTGAAATTTCAATTACAAATTTGATATTATGTAAATTTATATCATAAATTAGATTTATTAACACTACACACTCTATTGGAGTATCCCCTACAGTCTGTTAAGTATTTTGGACGAGGCTGTTGTTGTGTATACATATGTGTGTGTGTAGCTTTTACAATGTCACATATCAGTCAGACTAACATGTTTGTTCTATTGTAAAATATTTTATACAAAACTAAAAGTTATTTTGATTTATTATCTAAAATTTAACCTGATATATAGTACATGTAAACGTTTTGTGTTTATTTAAGTATACACTCATGGTAAAATGTTAGTTAATTCCATATAAGGGGTCTTAGACAACTAGGCGCTCAACTGTTCAGATTAGATTATAAAATAAAGTAAAATACAGAGTAGCCTACAAACTATAGACTAGAGTATAGACTAGACTATAGACTAGACTATAGACTAGACTACAGACTAGACTATAGACTAGACTATAGACTAGACTATAGACTAGACTACAGACTAGACTATAGACTAGACTATAGACTAGACTATAGACTAGACTACAGACTGTTCAGATTAGATTATAAAATAAAGTAAAATACAGAGTAGCCTACAAACTATAGACTAGAGTATAGACTAGACTATAGACTAGACTATAGACTAGACTACAGACTAGACTATAGACTAGACTATAGACTAGACTATAGACTAGACTACAGACTAGACTATAGACTAGACTATAGACTAGACTATAGACTAGACTACAGACTAGACTATAGACTAGACTATAGACTAGACTACAGACTAGACTATAGACTAGACTATAGACTAGACTATAGACTAGACTATAGACTAGACTATAGACTAGACTATAGACTAGACTATAGACTAGACTATAGACTAGACTATAGACTAGACTATAGACTAGACTATAGACTAGACTATAGACTAGACTATAGACTAGACTATAGACTAGACTATAGACTAGACTATAGACTAGACTATAGACTAGACTATAGACTAGACTATAGACTAGACTATAGACTAGACTATAGACTATACTATAGACTAGACTATAGACTAGACTATAGACTAGACTGGCCTATAGACTGCAATATAGACTATAGACTGATTAGCCTATTGACTCGCCTATAGACTAGAACAGACTTTTGACTAATCTTTAGACTGCTTAGCAAAGTACCAAAATGTAGACTATAGACTAGACTAGCAAAGTACCAAAATGTAGACTATAGATTAGACTATAGACTAGACTATAGACTAGACTATAGACTAGACTATAGACTAGACTATAGACTAGACTATAGACTAGACTATAGACTAGACTATAGACTAGACTATAGACAAGACTATAGACAAGACTATAGACTAGACTGGCCTATAGACTACAATATAGACTATAGACTAGACTGGCCTATAGACTACAATAAAGACTATACTATTGATTAGCCTATTGACTCGCCTATAGACTAGAACAGACTTTTGACTAATCTTTGGACTGCTTAGCAAAGTACCAAAATGTATTGGAGAATTTACTATAGTACTGAATTACCCATCCCTGACTCAAGATATTCTCTGGGTATTTTATCTGTAAGCAATTACTACTAGAATACTCTTAAAATTTTTTAACTTTCGCACCAATAATTTTGAGTGTAAATCTGCCGCTTGAGTGACAAACTTTAATTTCTTTGAAATATTCAATTCATTATTATAATTTGAAACAACAACAAAAAAATGTTTGCATAAAATGATGCATTGTATAAGAACATTTTGTCATAACGTTTTTTTTTTAATTCTTCTTGCCACAATCAGTGGTATTAATCATCAGTTATATTTATAGGATTTTTACTAATTTGTACTGTTAGAAAGAAATCAAGTAACAATAACATTGAAATAAAACTTGAATTATTTATTACTAAGCGATCTAAGGTAATTAAAAAACATACAAAAGGAGGAATTTTTTAACAATTTATCAACTTATAACCTAGCAGTGAGTGCAGAGTTAATTCAATAGATGATAATGATGTTGAACTGTTACACTGAAAGAAAATGTTAACTTTATTTAACGCATGTTTTTAAAAATTAATTTTATTGAAATTTCTTGAAGTGTTTAATATATTTGATATATTACCATATGGAGTAATTAATAAAATTTAAAACAATTTATTTATGTTTGTAGTTTTGAAATAGCATTGAAGCTGTATAAGCTACAATCAATACTTTACTGTTTTTTATATGAAGTAAGTAAATTGTAGAATAAAAATACCCTTCTCTTTTTTTTATTAAGATAAATTTCATGTGATTTTTTGTATATTTTTTGCTTTGTAAAATATTTTGTTGTTCCTTTCTAGTTGTTGTAAATATTTAATCATAATATGATTAATCATGCTTACTTACACATTATGCTAAATAATTCTTAAATGTGATAAATGTTTACATAAACGTACATTTTTGCGCCAACTGAAATGTTCTTTTTGCAGCAGGGATTCCCAAAAGTTGTTGCAAGTATCATAGGATTTTATAATGTTTTTTGAGGAAATGTGAAATGGAATTGATTAATTTAACTCATTAGGGAGTGAAGTATTTTATAAATTAAATATCCAATTTTTAACATTTTCTTTAAGGACTTAAGATTCACTGAATTATCATGTTTTTTTTTATATCTTTGTTGGCGACTTATGCTACATTTACTAATTTAATGGCCCAATGAAACGTTAAGAATATTTTTGTGTATTGGGCTTTTAATTTGTGTTTTTTTTTTCAATGTTTTTGCAAGTTGTTTCTATCCTTTTATGTAAAAAAATATTGTTTTTTTCTTTAAAACTATTCATTAAAAATGGTGTTGTATTTATGGTGTTTAAATTGACAAACATGACAATTTTGTTTTTATTTTTTTATGCTTCATGTTTGTTGTAAAATAAACAAATACAAAAAACTTATTTAATATTAAACGAACAAACAATTATTCATTTAAAAATCAAATACAAATTTAACAGGCTGTTTGGCTGAATGACTGACTGACTGACCTCCGTCATGTTGCCTTCATCCAATGCGTTTTGTTGGGCTGCACCTTTAATAGTAGAATTGTAAATTTTGTTGCTGTATTTAAATTGATTTTTTTTCTTTCTTATTTTTTTGTAAATAAATAATGAAAAATTATTTAATAGAATTGCATAAATTAATAATAAAAAAGCGAAAATACAACAAAATCATGCTTTTATTATTGTTTCTCTTATTAAGACAAGAAATATTTGAGAAAATTAAAAAAAAAAAAAACAATTTCAAGTTCAACTAGTTGCAAATAAATTGCCAGTAAATGCAGCATAAAATTGTAAATTGTATTATATGGTAAAAATCATACGCACCACTGTTTAACAATTACACAATACAACAAATAGATGGACAGACTCATACACGGACTGACAGACTAATGTGCAATTAAAAATATCTTTATAGTTTTAAACGAGACATCATAATCTAAAATAAATGTGGGATCATTCCTAAAAATTAATGTCTACAAATGATTTTGCATAAATAATAATGAAAACATAATTAAACTTATTTTATATAAAATGTTATAAGCAAATATTTTAATAAAAATTTTTAATATGTGAAAAATTTATAATATTTTTTACAAGGTGTGTTTATTTTTTTATATAATAAATATAATTTTTAACATTTTAATTAAACATATTCTTACCTTTTTTTCTTTTCAGATTATTACTTTTGAAGCTTAAAAAAGGATAATATTTGTTCAGCAAGACTTGAACTAAGAATAATTCACGTGGAAATTTATAAATTTTAATTAAAAAATATAAAATTAAATAACATAAATAACATTTAAAAAGAGAATATTGTTTTTATTTCAAAAAAGTACATATTCAAACTGCATAAATACATGTTTTACTCACATTTACTTAAGTGTATTTTGAAATAAGAGATGAGATTGAAAATGTTGCATAATATAAATTACACAAACTTTTTAGCATACCTTAAGGAGTCTATTTTAATACCGTAGGCCTAGAAAGTTTAAAATTATTTGGAATTTAGAAAAAAAGTTGCTCGGATCTCAAAATAATAACGATTTTCGGATTTAGGGTGTGGAGTTCCGGTAAATAGAGGTTTCCAGCCAAATCGGACTGCAGATTTCCGAGAAAAACTAAAAAATTTAAATTTTTGTAATACCAAAGTGCAACACTCATACGCTTATATGTTCTCTTTAACATACTAATAAATTGCTCAGATTTTAAAAGCATACTTTTGAGAGCGAAAATTCCACACTCATACGTATGTACGCTCTCATTAAATTGCTAATAAATTTCTACAATTTCCAAAGTATACTTTTGGGAGCGATTTAAATACAGTAGACCCGAGAACTTAAATTTATATGGGATTTTGAAAAAAGTTGCTCGGATCTGAAAATGGTGTCGATTTTCGGATTCAGCGTGTGGAGTTCCGGCAAATAGGGGTTTCCAGCCAAATCGGACTGCAGATTTCTGAGAAAAACGCAAAAAAAATTTCAAATTTTGTAAAATAAAAATTCAGCACTCATACGCATGTATGCTCTCATTAAATTACTAAAAGAATACAATTTCCAAAGCATACTTTTGGGTGCTATTTAAATACAGTAGACCCGAGAACTTAAATTTATATGGGATTTTGAAAAAAAGTTGCTCGGATCTGAAAATGGTGTCGATTTTCGGATTCAGCGTGTGGAGTTCCGGTAAATAGGGGTTTCCAGCCCAATCGGACTGCAGATTTACGAGAAAAACGCAAAAAACATAAAAATTTCAAATTTTGTTAAATCAAAATTCAACACTCATACGCTTCTACGCTCTCATTAAATTGCTAATAAATTTCTACAATTTCCAAAGCATACTTTTGGGAGCTATTTAAATACAGTAGAACCGAGAACTTAAATTTATATGGGATTACGAAAAAAAGTTGCTCGGATCGGAAAATGGTGTCGATTTTCGGATTCAGCGTGTGGAGTTCCGGTAAATAGGGGTTTCCAGCACAATCGGACTGCAGATTTACGAGAAAAACGCAAAAAACATAAAAATTTCAAATTTTGTTAAATCAAAATTCAACACTCATACGCTTCTACGCTCTCATTAAATTGCTAATAAATTTCTACAATTTCCAAAGCCTACTTTTGGGAGCTATTTAAATACAGTAGACCCGAGAACTTAAATTTATATGGGATTTTGAAAAAAAGTTGGTCGGATTTGAAAATGGTGTCGATTTTCGAATTCAGCGTGTGGAGTTCCGGTAAATAGGGGTTTCCAGCCAAATCGGACTGCAGATTTCCGAGAAAAACGCAAAAAACATAAAAATTTTAATATTTGGTAAATTTATTTTTAACACTCATACGCATACGTGACGCCTTATGACGTCATTCAAATACAATTAAATATCAATGATTCTCTCAGCATACTTTAGGGAGCTGTTAAATTACAGTAGGCTTTAAAATATACATTTTTAAAGGAATTAAATGATATAAATTTAAATATGAGCTTAAAATCTAAAAAAATTAAAATTTGTATTGCTTATTTTCCACAAAATTTTTACCCTGACATTTGAACATAGATTTGTTTTAAAAAATATTTGGTTTTGAAAACGCAGCAGAGCAAACACTACCTAATAAGTCAGTCGATTGAGACTGAACGTCAGTTAGATTTGTTTGTTTGTTTAATTGAAGTCAAGACTTATCGATTAAAATGTGATTTGTTATACAAAACGTTTAGCAATTTGCAACGTTAAACAAGATTAAAGTGTTATTTGAAAAACTACAAAAGAATTAATCTCAAAAATAATATAAAAAAAAAAATTTAAAAAATGATAAAAATCTCAATTTTCAACATGAATGCAAATTCAAACAAAACAAATTAATCAGGATCTATATTGGAGGCTACAATAATAACAACAAAACATTGAATAACATTAGACTGACAAATAACTTTAAAGTTAATGATTGTTTTTATTCGCAGCAACATTTATTGCAATTAATTAAAAACGTTTTAATAATGAAAGCAGAACAATTTAACTGATCTGTTGTATAGGTATGTATTTAGTATTATTAACAAGGTGGAGTTTTTTGTTTTTGTATATTATTATATCATTAATATTTGTTTAAACAACAAATGCTGCAACTCCACAGCAGCCATGGCAGTAACTAGCAATTGCAGCATGTTTAGCATTTTAGTACGTACAACATTTTTGCCAATAAATAAATTAACTATTTATTTAGACAGTATGTCTGTGTTTAGACTTAAGTACTCAAATACTAAATGGTTAAAAAAATGCAAAACTTGATGTCATGGTTAACTATACCAAACAAAAGCATAAACTATCAAACAATTCACGACTTTAAGTGGCTGCAACTTCTTGTACAAGTTGATTGGTTTTAAAGCAAATGTCTACACTTGCAATGAATAGATACTTTATGGTATTAACAATAAAATTTAAACATTAGATTTTCTTATAAAGTTTATTTAGCTTATTTTAGTGGGTATTAGCTGAGTTTAGAAATTTTGCTGCCAGTGTGACTGACAAAACCTAAGACCAACTTCGATTTTAAAGCTTTAAACAACATTGACTCATTGTCAAATAACGCCATTAGAAATTCATAATATAAAATAATACGTTAGTTTACCAATTTGGTAAATAAACACATACCACTATATAAATAAACTTATACATATGTGTGACATATACTAGGTTTTTATGCAAATTCTGTTATTAATATTAACACACACACTACGATTTAAAAGCATATATCCATAGCTATTCACTAAATAACAGCACAAGACATTCAAAAAACTCATAAATTGTTTAACACTTGACAACAGATTAAAATTTTAATAATGATAAATAAAAAAATTAATAATAATAATAAATAAATAAAAGATAGAAAACAATCATTAAATCTTTATCATCTGCAGTTGAAACAAGTAAAAGTGTTACATACATGGTGCTGTTAAACGAAATCTAAACGTTGCCTATGGTTGTACAACTTTTTAATTTCTTAAAAAATAACTTAAATTTAAAAAATTAATTTAAATAATAATTTAATAAAATCTATAGCATCATTTTTTTTAAACTAGCATTTAAATTATAATTGTTTACATTGTATTTACATTTTTAATTTCATTAAAATTTTATTATTTATTGCTGCTGTTGTATTTAACAATAAAATAAATTAAGTGTGCCATATTTTTATAAATTATTTTAAAATTTTCTATTTAAATGCATTGAATATATTAAATACATCTAAGAAATGCATTAATTTTGTTTTTGCTATTTTTTAAAATTCAATTAAAATGCATACAAGTTTGATTTCCCATTATTGAAATTTGCAATTTAAGAGATACACTTGTATTTTATCTTAAGTGCAGGATAGATATTTAAATATGTCATTTGCATGTTTTAAGAAAACAACTGGAAACTATGTTATATAAAAATACACTTAGAAAATTTTTAATTTCCCAAATTTCCTCCTTTTGAGTAGAAATTGTCCTGAATTGTTCTGAGATTCTCTTAGAATCAATGTCATCATTGATATCTGCCTAAATTGTAAAGAAATTTGAAATTTAGTTTTGAGAATTTTGTCTAAATTACTTAAATATTACTGTGTACTTACACAAAAAAATTCTCATTTTCTATTTCTTGTTATAAGTCCAGAATCGATTTGTACTACATCCATTGTATGTATCTGATTGTATATTGATTTGCTCTGGTGACAGGTTACCATAAGCAGCAGGATTTCACTGATGTTAAATTGATGTAACAAGTTTAACAAGTTTCTCTTCTTTTAACTGAAAATAATAAAATTTTCGTTAATATAATTAAATATTTTGCTGATTTGGTCATTTTTTATACTATTTTATACAAAATTGTTCTTAAAAATGTGAATTTTCAGTAGTAGATTATTTTTATACCCTTCTCCTTCATGAGAAGGGTATATATAAGTTTGTTATTCTGTTTGTAATTTTCCGTCTGTCTGTCCGTCTTTCTGTCTGTCTGTCCGTCTGTGTGTCTGTTGAAATCAGTTTTCTGAAGACCCCAGATATCTTATATATAAGTTTTTATCTTTCTGTTTATAATTTCCACAATATAATTTTCCGACCCTATTAAGTTTATGGCGGAGTCGGAGCCATGTCCGTCTGTCCGTCTGTGTGTCTGTTGAAATCAATTTTCTGAAGACCCCAGATATCTTCGGAATCTAAATCTTCAACAGTTCTGTTAAACATGGTTTTGAGAAGTTTCTTTCTTTGGGTGTTTTATTTCGTTTAGTGTTGCAAGTAATGATAGTGTCGGGAAAATAAAATAAATTGAAATTTTATAAAATGAATACTATTTTTAACACACTATGGTGAAGGTTATATAAGATTCGGCAAAGACGAATATAGACTTCTTATTTGTTTATCTTAAAATCAGATTAAAAAACTATTTATTATTTTTATCTTGTTCAAAATCCCGCAAAAGAATTCTCTCAGTGTAAGGCATTTTTTATGTCATACAAATCATGTTATCGCAAATAGAATAAAATCACTATATACAACCTCAAATTACATACATACATGCATACATATCTACATATTCATTCTCATCTTAGAGATACCCTGTTGACTCATTGTCTAGCGCTTACCGACAGCAGCAAAAATACTACTATCAAATCTTCATTATGATTATTGTCATCATCATTATGACCTTTTTTTTCCTCAAATGTGAGTATGTTGTGTTCATTTTTCTAATCTTAAAAATGTAGACAAATACTGCATCTGTTGAGAAAATGTTTTATTAAATAATAAAATATTTTTTTTCTTACCACTCATAATTATTTCTAAGAATTTACAATCATTTTCGTTGAAAAAAATCTTACAAAATTTTTCTTTTTACCAAAAAAAAAAAATCAAAAAAAAATTCTTTGATCTTTTCATTCTCTATTGAAAAGGAAAGAAATTAATAAAAACAAAGACTGTCAGAGAGAAATAAGCAAAAAATTATATGTTTTTTTTATTTTTTGTTTAATTTTTCTTAAACGTTGTTATTTTGGCTTGAAACATTTTTATTTTATTTTAAAAGAAATGCCACAAAAATTTCCTTTCTATTGGCCATAAAGCATCAGATGTGGTCATATATATTAGTTTCTAACAAATGTGTAATTTTTTTCAACAAATTTGTTTAAAAATATACCAAAAAATCGCGCGATGTAATGACAAGCAAAAATTTTTTTTAATAGACTATTTGGTTGAACATTAAACTGCAAGTGTTTAAAAAGAAAGAAATGATTGAAATGTTAACACAAAACAATTAAATATATTAGTCGTTATAAAAAAAAATATATATTTAAAGTTTTTTTTTATTTTTTAAACAATTTTATATTAAAACATTGACACGCCTTCTCAGTTTGCAAGTTAAGAGGTGTGTAGTAGTATGCCGTCTGCAGTTGCAATTGCATTTTATCAATTTGTTAACATCTTTTAGATTGCGTTAATAATTATCAATTATTTACCACCTTGGATTTACATGTTTTGTTTTTATAATTTGTTTGCAATTTCAAACAATTCAAATTTTATATATTTTATTGAACTATTCATATTTAATTTATTAAATAAAAATGTGAGACCAAAAATACCCAATAAAAACATTCATTACCATGTAAGGGGTTAAAATGCTAACTTAGACAATAGCATTTTAAGTCATTATTGTAATACGGTGATATCATTGGAGGCAAGTACTTGCCACAAACGATTACAAATAATTGGAAAATGTACTCATTACAAATCGCATGAAAAAACGTATACAGCTTCTATATCTTCATATGACTAATGAATTAGAAAATATGTATATAACACATTATTAGTAAGTAGTAGTCATTAAAATATATGTTGTTAGGTAAGTAATTACAATTGAAAGCCAGTTTTTGCTGGTTACTTTCTATACTATAGTTCCATTATTAGACTACCTCCATGTAATCCAGACGATATATAGTTGTCATTGAAAAATATGTTGTTGGGTAAGTAATTACAATTGAAAGCCATTACCTAGTTTTTGCTGGGTACTTTCCAAACTATAGTCCCATTTATTATATTCGAAATTGGCAGCTAGTTTTTATTTTAATTATGGAAAAACTGCCAAAGATCTTTATCATTCCATCCCAGCTAATATTTTTATTTTTCTTTGATTTTTTTAGCTCCGATTAGTAAGTGAAATACAAATAAAGTTAACGAACATAATAAATTAAATCCATTTAAATCGACTTGCTGGCCAATTAAAAACCAGTGTACTTGGGTAATGAAATCGAAATGATTTCGAGACCATCGATCCATTAAATAATGTTAATCCCCTATAACTATCGATCAACATTTTACAAGCAAAAGCCAAAGACCTATTTTCAAGGAAGAGGCCTTAAAAACGTCTGATCTGAATTACAGATGCTGTGATCGATTCAGAGATGGTAAGTTGATTTTTAAAAAATACTTACATATAAATATTAATATGTATTAGTGTGATTTTTTTATAAATATCAACCAGTTTAGTATTTTAAAATCCCATTATTTTTTTTTTAACACATAAATAACACTTGATTAATGTTTTTACCTCACACCAATGAAAAAGCAAAAATTTGTCAAGCTTAAAAATTTAAATACAATAAAGTAGATTTTGTAAAAAAGTAACAAAAACATTTAAAAAAATATTGAATTTAAAAGTAGATGTACAAATACCAAATTGGCTAATATCCAATTTAAGTCTTTAAAGTTGAGTACATTGTATGTAAAAGTATACAACTTACATAAATGCAAATACATACATATGTATGTATATGCACATATATATTAGTGTAGTTATATATACATATGTTTGCATCTAGATAAATATTCTAAACAAACATAACTTATTGGCCTAAAATGTCTAGTAATTTATAATATAAACACAATGAACTACTGTACTAGTTATTGACTCCACTATTTACACCATGGCAGACGACAGACACAGTGACAATAGTGGCAGCAGTAGCATTCGTAATGGAAATATTCAAACACTTTGATTAAAACCGATTTTTACACACAATCATCAAATACCTTAAAAACACTAATCAAAAATGTCTTAAATGGTCTTTTAATGGCAGAAAGTCACAACTCCAGAAAAAATGCAGTTTTCATTTTGAAATCTCCTTTAAAAAAGGCCGAATCATTTATTAAATTATTAATTTTGAGTTATGACATTTATGCATTAACTAAATAATATTTCGTTTATTTTTTCTTTTTGTTGGCAATTGTCCAATTCTTTTAATGACTTTCTATACAAAATAATAAAAACAATAAAGATTTTGAGCCTACTCATGGCATTAACAGAAACTTGAAAGTATTTATTCTTGTTCATATATTTTGTAATTTAAACAATAGAAATTAAAAAGTAATACTAATACCATTTGTTTTTTTTTCAAATATTTTATTTTTAAACATAAATATTAAAACCAATTCTACAATGATTACATACCTTCAAACTCTGCTTTTATCTAATAATCTAACGAGACAGCCATTTAGTCTACTTCTCACACTCTAAATTCTATTAGAAAAAAACATTAATACTTTAATGTTAACTATTTTTAACACAAACAAATGTCCTAAACATCCATCAACTTACAAGGTGGCCCAATAAATTAGTCGTATTTTGAAATTCAACTGTTGAAAATATATGAAACAACAAATATTTAGGCATTTAATAAATTGTGTGTATTTAATTTTCATAAAATTTTTAAGTGAAAAATAAATGAAAAGATTTTTTAGACAAAAAAAATATTTATTATATACACCATCAAAAAAGATGGGGGGTATATTAAATTTGTCATTTCGTGTGTAACACATCGAAATATTATTAATAGAACCCATAAAGTATATATATTCTGGGTCATTGTAAGATTCTAAGACGATCTAGCTATTGCTGTCCGTCTGTCAAAATATGCTTTATTGATCAGAAATGTTTGGTATGGTTAAAATGGGCGAAATCGGTCAACGATTTCGCATAGCCCCCAAACAAATAGACCCCCGGAATATTGTGTAAAAAGCTTCAAACATTAAGCGAAATGAGTCAAAAAATAGGATCAAAATTGGTACCGAAATCAGAACAAACCTATAATTTAATCAAAATTTCGGATTTTTTAAACTAGTGACCGAAAGTGACTAAAAACTGGCCGTTTTGTTATTTAATGGAGCTGAGAAACCTGTAAAAACACACCTTTTAACTTACCTTTGAATGTTTGGATTTTCCAAGAATAAAACTCTTTAATTCTGATATTTAATAAAATTCACCAATTTTTCTTTATTTAATATTTAAACTTAATACTAATACATTTGTAATTAATATTAACAATAACGCTATATTTATAGCTTTATTAAATTAATTTAAATAAAATTCTAGTAAATAATAAAAAATTAAATAAAAATTTATTATACAAACAGATGAGGATAGGTCCATAATTGACCCCAACACGCATATAACTCCTCTTATGGTTATAGAAGTTGGACAAAAACCGTATGATATGTCGAATTTCAACATTGTGGCTGATGATGGTGAGGCAGCAATACAAATAGAGTTATACTTAAGATAATAAAAACTATCTGAAATAAAGATACAAAGAAAAAAGAAATTTTTTGTCTTTTATTCAGTTCAAGATCTCAAACAAATCCACTTCAGTATTAGATCAACTCTCTTCAGTTCTAATTTAGTTTTAGGCCTGTTGTGGTTCTCTTCTTGACTAGGCTAGCAAATAATTTACCATAGACAAGACAAGAACCCTTAAATGTACAGGACATTTTGGCAAATTATGAGATAAAATTAAATTTCGTAGGAATTCGTTCAGAATTATTTTTCCGAAATTTTGATGAAATATTGGTCTCAGGCCCACTATGAGTTCATTTTCGGTTTCAGCTAAAATTCCAATGTTGTAAGTAAAATTTTTGCAGCTCTAGACCTCAAGACCCCGATATTATAGCACAAAATGCTTAAAATAAAAATTTTTCGGGAATTTTGATGAAATATTGGTCCTAGGTCCATTCTGAGTCCATTTTCGGATTCAGCATGGGATTTTACCAGAAAGGTGAGTTTCCAGCCAAATTCGCCCAGTATTTCCCGAGTTTGAAGCAAAAATAAAAAAAAATTAGAAATTTTGAGGAATGTTGGACCTAGGACCCATAGTACAACGAAATTTCAAATTTAATTTTTCGTTTGCTTTAATCTCGAAAACTACTGGCCGAATCTTGCTGGAAACTCACCTTTCTGGTAATTTCCCACGCTGAATCCGAAAATGGATTCAGAATGGACCTAGGTCCATTGTTTCATCAAAATTCCCGACATTTTTTTATTTTGAACAATTTGTACTATTATTTGGGGACCTGAAGGACGAGGGAAACTGAAATTTGTCATTTAAGACTAAAATCTATGCTGAATCCGAAAATGGTTTCAGAATTGAGCTAGGTCCAAGATTTCATAAAAATTTCGGAACAAAAATTGTGAGTCAATTATCCCACGAAATTTCAGTTCATTTCATAATTTTTCTAAATTTAGAGGTTTCTGTCTTGGCTAGCAAATATTTACAATAGTCAAGTCAAGAACCCTTAAATGTAGACAAAGTTTTAGAAAATTTTGAGGTAACATACAATTTTCTAGTAAAATTGGTCTGAAATTTTGATCGAAAATTTGGATGAAATATTGGTCTCTGGTCCACTATGAGTTCATTTTCGGTTTCAGCTTAAATTCTAATGTTGTAAGTCAAATTTTTGCAGCTCTAGACCTCAAGACCGCGATATAATAGCACAAAATGCTTAAAATAAAAAAATTTCGGGAATTTTGATGAAATATTGGTCCTAGGTCCATTCTGAGTCCATTTTCGGATTCAGCATGGGATTTTACCAGAAAGGTGAGTTTCCAGCCAGATTGGCCCAGTAGTTCCCGAGTTTGAAGCAAAAATAAAAAAAAATTAGAAATTTTGATGAATGTTGGACCTAGGACCCATAGTACAACAAAATTTCAAATTTAATTTTTCGTTTGCTTTAATCTCGAAAACTACTGGCCGAATCTTGCTGGAAACTCACCTTTCTAGTAATTTCCCACGCTGAATCCGAAAATGGACTCAGAATGGACCTAGGTCCACTGTTTCATCAAAATTCCCGATATTTTTTATTTTGAACAATTTGTACTATTATTTGGGGACCTGAAGACCGAGGGAAACTGAAATTTGTCATTTAAGACTAAAATCTATGCTGAATCCGAAAATGGTCTCAGAATTGAGCTAGGTCCGAAATTTCATAAAAATTTCGGAACAAGAATTGTGAGTCAATTACCCGACGAAATTTCAGTTCATATCATAATTTTTCTAAATTTAGAGGTTTCTGTCTTGGCTAGTAAATATTTACAATAGTCAAGTCAAGAACCCTTAAATGTAGACAAAGTTTTAGAAAATTTTGAGGTAACATACAATTTTCTAGTAAAATTGGTCTGAAATTTTAATCGAAAATTTAGATGAAATATTGGTCTCAGGTCCACTATCAGTTCATTTTCGGTTTCAGCTTAAATTCTAATGTTGTAAGTAAAATTTTTGCAGCTCTAGACCTCAAGGCCCCGATATAATAGCACAAAATGCTTAAAATAAAAATTTTCGGTAATTTTGATGAAATATTGGTCCTAGGTCCATTCTGAGTCCATTTTCGGATTCAGCATGGGATTTTACCAGAAAGGTGAGTTTCCAGCAAAATTCGCCCAGTATTTCCCGAGTTTGAAGCAAAAGTAAAAAAACAAAATTAGAAATTTTGAGGAATGTTGGACCTAGGACCCATAGTACAACGAAATTTCAAATTTAATTTTTCGTTTGCTTTAATCTCGAAAACTACTGGCCGAATCTTGCTGGAAACTCACCTTTCTGGTAATTTCCCACGCTGAATCCGAAAATGGATTCAGAATGGACCTAGGTCCATTGTTTCATCAAAATTCCCGACATTTTTTTATTTTGAACAATTTGTACTATTATTTGGGGACCTGAAGGACGAGGGAAACTGAAATTTGTCATTTAAGACTAAAATCTATGCTGAAACCGAAAATGGTCTCAGAATTGAGCTAGGTCCAAGATTTCATAAAAATTTCGGAACAAAAATTGTGAGTCAATTATCCCACGAAATTTCAGTTCATTTCATAATTTTTCTAAATTTAGAGGTTTCTGTCTTGGCTAGCAAATATTTACAATAGTCAAGTCAAGAACCCTTAAATGTAGACAAAGTTTTAGAAAATTTTGAGGTAACATAGAATTTTCTAGTAAAATTGGTCTGAAATTTTGATCGAAAATTTGGATGAAATATTGGTCTCTGGTCCACTATGAGTTCATTTTCGGTTTCAGCTTAAATTCTAATGTTGTAAGTCAAATCTTTGCAGCTCTACCCTTAAGACCCCGATATAATAGCACAAAATGCTTAAAATAAAAAAATTTCGGGAATTTTGATGAAATATTGGTCCTAGGTCCATTCTGAGTCCATGTTCGGATTCAGCATGGGATTTTACCAGAAAGGTGAGTTTCCAGCCAGATTGGCCCAGTAGTTCCCGAGTTTGAAGCAAAAATAAAAAAAAATTAGAAATTTTGATGAATGTTGGACCTAGGACCCATAGTACAACAAAATTTCAAATTTAATTTTTCGTTTGCTTTAATCTCGAAAACTACTGGCCGAATCTTGCTGGAAACTCACCTTTCTGGTAATTTCCCACGCTGAATCCGAAAATGGACTCAGAATGGACCTAGGTCCACTGTTTCATCAAAATTCCCGATATTTTTTTATTTTGAACAATTTGTACTATTATTTGGGGACCTGAAGACCGAGGGAAACTGAAATTTGTCATTTAAGACTAAAATCTATGCTGAATCCGAAAATGGTCTCAGAATTGAGCTAGGTCCGAAATTTCATAAAAATTTCGGAACAAGAATTGTGAGTCAATTACCCGACGAAATTTCAGTTCATATCATAATTTTTCTAAATTTAGAGGTTTCTGTCTTGGCTAGTAAATATTTACAATAGTCAAGTCAAGAACCCTTAAATGTAGACAAAGTTTTAGAAAATTTTGAGGTAACATGGAATTTTCTAGTAAAATTGGTCTGAAATTTTGATCGAAAATTTGGATGAAATATTGGTCTCTGGTCCACTATGAGTTCATTTTCGGTTTCAGCTTAAATTCAAATCTTTGCAGCTCTAGACCTCAAGACCCCGATATAATAGCACAAAATGCTTAAAATAAAAAAATTTCGGGAATTTTGATGAAATATTGGTCCTAGGTCCATTCTGAGTCCATTTTCGGATTCAGCATGGGATTTTACCAGAAAGGTGAGTTTCCAGCCAGATTGGCCCAGTAGTTCCCGAGTTTGAAGCAAAAATAAAAAAAAATTAGAAATTTTGATGAATGTTGGACCTAGGACCCATAGTACAACAAAATTTCAAATTTAATTTTTCGTTTGCTTTAATCTCGAAAACTACTGGCCGAATCTTGCTGGAAACTCACCTTTCTGGTAATTTCCCACGCTGAATCCGAAAATGGACTCAGAATGGACCTAGGTCCACTGTTTCATCAAAATTCCCGATATTTTTTTATTTTGAACAATTTGTACTATTATTTGGGGACCTGAAGACCGAGGGAAACTGAAATTTGTCATTTAAGACTAAAATCTATGCTGAATCCGAAAATGGTCTCAGAATTGAGCTAGGTCCGAAATTTCATAAAAATTTCGGAACAAGAATTGTGAGTCAATTACCCGACGAAATTTCAGTTCATATCATAATTTTTCTAAATTTAGAGGTTTCTGTCTTGGCTAGTAAATATTTACAATAGTCAAGTCAAGAACCCTTAAATGTAGACAAAGTTTTAGAAAATTTTGAGGTAACATAGAATTTTCTAGTAAAATTGGTCTGAAATTTTAATCGAAAATTTGGATGAAATATTGGTCTCAGGTCCACTATCAGTTCATTTTCGGTTTCAGCTTAAATTCTAATGTTGTAAGTAAAATTTTTGCAGCTCTAGACCTCAAGACCCCGATATAATAGCACAAAATGCTTAAAATAAAAAAATTTCGGGAATTTTGATGAAATATTGGTCCTAGGTCCATTCTGAGTCCATTTTCGGATTCAGCATGGGATTTTACCAGAAAGGTGAGTTTCCAGCCAGATTGGCCCAGTAGTTCCCGAGTTTGAAGCAAAAATAAAAAAAAATTAGAAATTTTGATGAATGTTGGACCTAGGACCCATAGTACAACAAAATTTCAAATTCAATTTTTCGTTTGCTTTAATCTCGAAAACTACTGGCCGAATCTTGCTGGAAACTCACCTTTCTGGTAATTTCCCACGCTGAATCCGAAAATGGACTCAGAATGGACCTAGGTCCACTGTTTCATAAAAATTCCCGATATTTTTTTATTTTGAACAATTTGTACTATTATTTGGGGACCTGAAGACCGAGGGAAACTGAAATTTGTCATTTAAGACTAAAATCTATGCTGAATCCGAAAATGGTCTCAGAATTGAGCTAGGTCCGAAATTTCACAAAAATTTC